AGCACTGTACCTATGATAACCGGCAAAATTGTCCAGAGAGGGACAGAAACTCCAGAACGGAAATATGTTCATAATTTCTTCCATAATAATAATAATAATAATAATAATAATGTGTTCAACTTGTAATTTTGTGATACGAAATCCAGCATATAGATCTCGTTTGCTGTGACATACTGTGCTTTTGTGGTAATAATAATAATAATAATAATAATAATAATAATAATAATATTTTGCAAAAGTTCCATGGCTCAGGTACAAAGCACTATTCAGAGATATGTTTGTCAAATTTAATTTTAATTTTGTAATTTTATATTGCCATGTTGTCCTTTGTTTTATGTAATTGCATTATTATTGTTTATTATTTGCATTTTTGGTTTTGTTTTATTTCATGTAATTGTTGTTCTGGGCTTGGCCTCATGTAAGCCGCACCGAGTCCCCATCAGGGAGATGGAGCGGGGTACAAATAAAGTATTATTATTATTATTATTATTATTATTATTATTATTATTATTATTATTTGCCCTGAGCTACAAAACAGGAGCTTTTTTTGTTGAGTTCCAGGGCCAGAGAAGCAGATGGCGGAAACAGAAGAACGGCCTGCCTCAGGGGAGCGTGCTTGCTCCATCCATGTTCAACATCTACACAAATGACCAGCCACTGCCAGAAGGGACAGAGAGCTTCATCTATGCTGATGATCGTGCCATCACCGCTCAAGCAGGGAGCTTTGAGATGGTTGAACAGAAGCTCTCCGAAGCTCTAGGTGCTCTTACTGCCTATTACAGGGAAAACCAGCTGATCCCTAATCCATCTAAAACACAGACATGTGCTTTCACCTTAAGAACAGAGAAGCATCCCAAGCTCTGAGGATTACCTGGGAAGGAATCCTACTGGAGCATTGCAGCGCACCCAAATACCTGGGAGCCACTCTGGACCATGCCCTGACCAACAAGAAGCACTGCCTGAACATCAAGCAAAAAGTGGGTGCTAGAAACAATATCATACAAAAGCTGACTGGCAAAACCTGGGGATCACAACCAGACACAGTGAAGACATCTGCCCTTGCGCTATGCTACTCTGCTGCTGAGTATGCATGCCCAGTGTGGAACACATCTTACCACACTGAAACAGTGGATGTGGCTCTTAATGAGACATGCCGCATTATCACGGGGTGTCTGCGCCCTACACCACTGGAGAAAATACCCTGCTTAGCTGGTATTGCACCACCTGACATCTGCCGGAAAGTAGCAGCCAATAGTGAAAGGACCAAGGCAGAGACATCTCCAGCTCATCCCCTGTTTGGGTATCAGCCAGCATGTCAACGACTTAAATCTAGAAATAGTTTTCTAAGATCTTCAGAGACACTCGCTGGAACACCTCAGCAAGCGAGAGTCCAAAAGTGGCAGGCTCAAACCCAGAACCTCAACCAATGGCTGATACCAAATGAGAGACTCCCCCCTGGGCATACAGAGGACTGGGCGACTTGGAAGGCGCTGAACAGACTGCGCTAATGGCACCACGAGATGCAGAGCCAACCTCAAGAAATGGGGCCACAAAGTGGAATCCTCGACATATGAGTGTGGAGAGGAGCAAACCACTGACCACCTGCTGCAATGCAACCTGAGCCCTGCTACATGCACAATGGAGGACCTTCTTGCGGCAACACCAGAGGCACTCCAAGTGGCCAGATTCTGGTCAAAGGACATTTAATTAACTACCAAACTCACAAATTTTGTATTTTGCCTGTTTGTTTGTTTGCTTTGTTCTGTTAGAAATGTAATATAATTGACTGGTTGCCCTGACACGACAAATAAATAAATAAATTTGCCTTGACACTGTTGCTGTGTTTCATTATTGGCTCTGGAGCTCCCGGTGGCGCAATGTGTTTAGCCCTTGTGCCGGCAAGACTGAAGACCGACAGGTCAGAGGTTCGAATCTGGGGAGAGCGTAGATGAGCTCCCTTTGTCAGCTCCAGCAGCAATATTCCTGCTTCTTGGCAGGGGGTTGGACTGGATGGCCCATGAGGTCTCTTCCAACTCTATGATTCTATGAGAGAAGCCTCCCACAAGGATGGTAAAACATCAAAACATCCAGGCTTCCCTGGGCAATGTCTTTGCACACAGTCAATTCTCTCAAACCAGAAGTGACTTGCAGTTTCTCAAGTTGCTCCTGACACGACTATATAGGCTCTAATTCTGTCCTGCACTAAACCGGAGTAATTCCCTCAAGATCCAGTTAAACAGTTCCAATCTATTCATTTTCACCTCTAATACAGCTGGGTAAGATGTATCTCTTGTGTTAGTAATTGAATCACAATTATGTTGCCGGTTCATTCACTTTCCTCAAACGAACTTGGGTTCTCCCAACTTCCCGGCAAGTGCCGTGTTCCCGTTGTAAACACAGGTGGGTTTAAACAAGCCACTGTTTCCGTTCAATGATTAGCCCAGAGAGCAAACACATTTGCAAACGAAATTAGGAAGCAAAATGTACACTCCTCGTTTGCACGGCGTGAACTTTCAAAACAAACTTGTGCATCGTTGAATAAGCAAACAGAAAATCTCAGCTTCCATTATCCAAAGTCCCTCACACCCTTTATTGAGTTTCTAGAGAACATAGCAAGGGTGTTTCCGTCAGAAGGGCATTTCAGATACTGTGCTGTCACACGCTGGGCCTGTAGCAATTGTCTATTAACAGGACGTGGTCTCTATATGCCCAGCGGGACGCCCGGGGTGCCTCGGCTGAGGGGCCCTATGGATTTCCCTATATAAAGTCTTTAGAACAGTGTTTCTCAACCTTCCTAATGCTTTGTTGTTGTTCATTCGTTCAGTCGTCTCTGACTCTTCGTGACCTCATTGACCAGCCCATCCAGAGCTCCCTGTCGGCCGTCACCACCCCCAGCTCCTTCAAGGTCAGTCCAGTCACTTCAAGGATGCCAT